GCCCCCACGCAGCCCGTGACCCCGCCGCTCACTGGGTAGGGGATGTCCAGTCCGAGGACTTCCCGCTCTTTCGTCTCTGCTGACTTACATCGTCTCTGCACCTGCAGATGTGTCCACGGTGTTGTGCGTGTAAGGACTTAGCAAAATGAGGTGGACAGTCATGGTTGACACCCTTTAGGTAAATGGAACACATTCCGTTTTCTCCACTCCCGCAGAAACCCGCTGGCAGCAAGAGAATATTGATGTGTGAGCCCACAAAGAGTAGGAGAGAAGACAGTAGTAGCAGGCAGAATGTCAAGTTGCAGGAGCTGGAGCACTGTGTCACTCCAGGCAGGGGAGGGCTTTGGGCCGCACGATGGAGTTAGCTGAGCGTCTGTCCCTGAAAAATTGACCCCGGGGCTTCCCTCCAGGTCAGCGAGCAGAGGCCCTGGGTTGAGGCCGCGCACATCCAAGGGCCGGAGCGGCTGTGGGTGGGCCGGGCTGGGCGCTGGGCGGAGGCTCCCGGCCGAGGGGCCACACTGGAGACAGCACCGCCACTGCCGTGGGTGGCCGCTGGCCGTCCAGGCGAGCATGGCCGTCGACAGGACAAAGCCCCGCCCTTGCTCACAGTCTTAGTCTGTTATTACCTCGACTTTCACGGGGGCTGTGGAAGTGGGAAGAGGCCCCTTGCGCCGTTTCCCGGCTCCCAGCTGGTGCTCGTACCCAGCCGGGGGCAGGGAGCAGCGCCAGCCGCCTCCTGTCCGCGCCCTGTCGCGTGGCCGCGGGGCACAGCTCCGCCCGCAGAGGTCTGGTGACTGGTTTCTGACGGGCAGGCCAGCGGGGGCATGAGCGTGTTCGGAGGGGGCCTGGCGTGGGGGCCGAGGCCGGCGGCAGACAGCGCCGCAGCGCGGATGTCCTCGGGGAAGCAGAGGTGCTTGTCGGGGAAACGAAGCAGGGGACTGGAAACAGCATAACAGCTTTTGGGAATTCGAAGCGTGATGTTAGGAGAGAAGTTGGCGAGGACTCCCCGGAAATAGAATATTTAGACAGTTGGGGGTCTGTGAGGAGGGAAAGAGAAAATGAAGGACAGGACTATATCAGACAAATCGGAAATATTTCCGCAAGTGAGGCCGAGGGCCCAGGGACTGCGGAGGCCGCGTGGCTCCCGGGAGGCCGGGCACCCACGCCGACTCGGGCCTGGGGAAGACGTCAGGGCTTGGCTGGGGCGGGCGGGGAAGCGGTAGAGGAGAGCAGACTCGACGGGGACCCCGAGCCCAGCAGAGGAGGCCTGCTGACGGCTCGGCTGCTCTGGGCTGTTCGTTGAGCCCGGAACGGGCCCTGCGTGATGGAGGCTCGCACTGTAGCGAACGTACAGAGTGCGGAGTGGAAGCCGATTCCTCGTGCAGGCTGTCCCGAGAACAGGGACAAAGGGATGAGAGGATCCCCGAAGGGCCGGAGAAGCGATGGGACGTTCCTCTCAGCCCACACCCTGCGGCGTTCGGGGAGCTAGCAGAGCTTGGGGTATGAGTCTGCTTTATAAAGGTCTCAGGGATCCCCACCTGTCGCCAGGCTGCTGGACACCCCGGGAGACCCTTGCGGAAGGAAAAGCCAGGTTTTGGTAGAGTGACCCTTCAGCACGGGCAGCGGGCTGCCTGCGGCCCCAGAGCAGGGCGTCCATGCTGTGCTCACGGGAGCCAGGGCGCGTGGAAACTGGGGGGCTCCCAGCGCTTAGACACTTCAGATATTAGCGCTTCTAATAAAAATGTTTACAGTGATTGATGCGTTAAAAGAACAAGACATACTACGAACAGTCTTTAGAAGGCCCACGTGAAACCTCTAGAATGAAAGCCCTCATCAGTGAATTTAAAACCCAGTGGAACTGTTAAATAGTAAAATAGACACTTCCCAGGAAAGACTTGCATGAGCCAGAAAATAGATGTAAGAAGTAGAAATCAGCACAGAGATGGAGAGAGGAAGAGAGGAAGGAGCGTGGAGGACAGAACGACAGGCCCGGGCAGGCCTAGTGGGGAGCTCAAGAGCAGAGAACATCCAAGTAGCCCTCAGAGGTAGCCAGTCTCTCCCAGGCCCAGCTGCAGACTCAACTCAGCAGAGGCCCCAGGAGGTCCCAGGAGAGGCAGAGCACAAGGGCAGGGATCTGTCCAGCCCCACTAAGCGGGGTCAGCTTAGCTCTCAGGGACCCGCCTAAGTTATCACTGAGCGAGGAGGAAATAAAGTCACTTTCACAAGTGGAAAAAACTGAGTGTATTCCCTAACAGGCCTTGACGGAACTGCAGGAAGAAGGAAATTAAGCCCTGAAGAAAGGGAGAGACCAAAGGGGGTGGTGTGCAAGGCCCGTGCGCAGCGCCAGTGAGCACTGGCGCTCTGGTGGAGACGGGAGGGGCCTCCTGGTTCTGCAGGGTTAAGTCTCACTCAGCACTGGGAGGCCGGCCGCAGCCCCTGCAGCATGAGTTCGATCCCCGCCCCGGGAGTGACCCACAGGGCGCAGCAGACCTCTCCTGCCTCACTCCCCGCTCATCAGTGGATTTTTGTCAGTCTGCCTTTTCCCACTCTGTCTCTGGTGAATCTTTTCACCCCTGTCTCCTCTGGCCTGCACCCCAGTTCTTACATGCATAAATAAATACATCTTGAAAAAAGAAATGAGGAGACAGTGTGAGCCAGAGGCATTCTAGTGTCTTGGGACCTGTCGGGAAGAGTAGGAAGGATATTGATTGCTTAGATTTTGAGTCAAGTTGACATTTAAAATGTGAGGGTAACCACTAGAAGAATTAGGAACAGGATTTAATGTCTTCCAGCCAGCAGAGGGGGAAAATTGGAATTACAGACCCTGGGTCTCGCCCCTGAAAGACAAAAAGTCAGGTAGACAGAAAGCTCCGGTGGCAGGAAGGAGAGCCACGGGGCCACGAAGAGTGGACACAGGATGAAGGCCCTGCAGCCCAGCGCCCCGCGCGCCCTGCGTGCAGCCGGCCACCGCCGCGGACGACACTCCAGGTGGCAAAGGCCGACAAGAAACACACCGCCCGGGCCTTCTCCCGGGAGGCTGCAGCCCCAAACCAGGACCGCGCTGGCATCCGGAGACGATGCCACAGGCGGGCGGCCGGGAGGCCGGGTTGGAACAGCCTGCAGGTCTCCGCTGGGGGTGCCCCAGAAAGAAGAGACAGACCCCCCCCAAGCACCTGATGGGCAACTGAGGGTGTGGCGAGTGGTGTGGCGAGGAGCGGGAAGACTCGGCCGCCGCTCGGCCAGGCCGCGCTGGGGGGCTGCGGGCGCCGCGCTCCCGAAGCAGGAGGCTGGGACGGCGCCCACGCTCCTAAACGCGGGGGGCGTGTGCTGCATGTGGGGAGCTGGGAAGCCCCGAGAACGCCGACGGGGCCTCGGGAGGGTGCGCAGGAGCCCGCGGGCAGGAGACGCGCTGCTCTGAGCCAGCAGCTGTTCCCCGGTGCGCTGATGGAGCCACGCCGTAACTCGGTGACCGCACTTACCGGGGCCGGCGCTAGCTGCGTGTTGTGCGTGCCCACGTGCCCACGCAGATCTGCGGCAGTCTCGCCTTGCTCGCAGCCTCCAGGTGGCCTGTGCCACGGAGTCGCGACCCGGCCTCGCCGGGGGCCTCACCGGGGGCCTCACCTGGGAGGCTGTCTCTGGGGGGTCCGTGTGAGGGGCTGGCCCGCTTGGGAAGCCCCTTTGGAGAGCCCTGCTGGCGCCTCAGTTCTCATGACAGGAAAAGTCGTAGCCCCAGAGACAGATGCCACAGCCTGTGGCCGGGCCGGGCGGCGACTCTTGAGAGGCGATGCCCAGCCGCGGGACCAAGGCCTCAGCTTTCCAGCTGCCACTTCTTGGGCCGTAGCTCTTGCCTGACTCTGTTCACCTCGGGCTGCCCGCCGGCCGGTTCTCAGGTCCCGCGCCCTGGGCAGTGGCTCTCTGTGTGCCTGGCACGTTGTGGCCAATGGGCATTTGTCGGCAGGCGTTGCAGAGGTGAGACCCAGAGTAGTTTCACACTGTGCCCTGGCCACACGCTCCCGGGCAGCCACGGCTCCCTCCCGCCTGCCTGGGGCGTGTGCCAGGAACCCTCCTGCCCACGGTGGCTGGAGTGTTGCTGACAGCGTAAGTGTCCCACAGAGCCCGTGGTGGTGTCGACTCTGTGCCCCCCCAGGACTGGGCACCTTCCCTGGTGCTGATGCCCAGCCCGCTGCCGTGGCACCGCCTCCTTTGAAGACAAGGCCCAACCAGACCGTGTCAGAAGCCTGTGCCCTAGACTAGGTGGGTGTCCGTGGCCAGAGCAGTCTCCCTCTTGCTCACGGTGACCTGGGGGCAGCGAGGCAGTGACTGGCGCCTTCTGCAAGCAGTGGGCACTCCACTCGCAGCCCAGTGCAAGAGCTGCCCGCGAGCCAGCTGCCTCCCGTGGGCCACGCCCTCCTGTGGGCCTCCGTGCCGGCCGGCGCCAGCCCTCGCTCGGTGCGTGGCCCCTGTACCCAGGCGCCTCGATCAGCACGGCGGTGCCGCGGCTGCTTGCAGACAGGAGGCCCCGCGGCTAGCAGCCACCTGCGGCCTCTAGCAGCCAGGGCGCTTCCCCAGGCTTTGCCAGTGTGATGTCGGACCTGCAGTGTTACGAGTGAAGGTGAATTATTCATACGCTGCAGTTCGTCTCACTGTCCTGCTGCCTGGACTCCTGGATTCCAGCCCTCAGATTTCAGTCAGCGGAGAGACACGGGGTGCTCACACCGCTTTGTGCTTTGAAGCTCTCAGCAACCCTCTCTTGTGTTCCTGTGTTTTTCGTTATCTTTTTTTTTTTTAAGATTTATTTATTTGTGCATGTAGAACTGGGGTACAGGCCAGAGGGGCAGGAGCCATGAGAGGACTCCCCAGAGACAGTGGGGAGCAGAGCAGGTGGATGGACTGAAGCACACTGCTGAGGGGAGCAGCAGCGAGGCAGGAGGGGTCTGCTGCGCCCCGTGGTCCCCTCCGGGGCGGGCATCCAACGCATGCTGTAGTGCTTAGCTCTTGGTGCTGCGCTTTAACCGCTCAGGAGGAGCCCAGGAAGCTCGGCGCCGAGGGCAGTGGGGCGGGCGAGCTCGCCTGCTGGCTCTCACCTGTCCTGCGCGTCCTGGGCGTCCGTGGCTGCGCACCCCTAGGCAGCGCCCCCGGGCCCCTGCGCCCACCCTCTCGGCTTGGCTTCCTGAGCGGGGCCCGTGCCCTCTCCCAGAGGACTGTGGTCGCGGGGACGGCACCCCCGTCCGCTGTCACCCGGGCTGCCTCGCCCAGCACCTGAGGACTGGCTCTGGGCCGGGTGGGAGAGGTGGGCAGCAGAGGTGTCTGTCCATAAAGTGTCGTGTGCACCCCAGAAAGTCTCCAGCCCCCCACCCGCCGGTTGTGGCACCTGTAGTGACACACCCACCACCGACCCGCACCTGAGGAGCTCGAAGCCCAGTGCCCTGCAGGCGCGGGAAGGCGAGTGCTGAGGTGGGGTGGTGGGGAGGCCCGGGGGTGGCCCCGGAGAGTCTGCGCTGGGAGCCCCGGCTTGCTTTGGGGCGCAGGCCCTGTGGCTCCCCTCCTCGGCTCCCCGGCTTTGCAGCCGCTGGGCCGGGCCGGGGAGGAGCGACCTCAGACCTGCAGGCGTGCAGGCGTGCAGACGGGCGGTCCTGGCTCAGGCACTCGGGGCCCTGCCCGCCTGCCTGCGGGTGCCGGGAGAGGAGCCCGGACTGTCCCCTGTGCGCCGAGCTCACGGGTGTGACAGAAACCAAGGTCCCCCCGGAGGCTGGCCAGCCTGCCCCTCCTTGCGCACCTCTACTTGAGCGAGAACCTGGCCGCCAGGCAAGAATCGTCCTTGATCAGGGCTCTCGTGTGTTATTTTTATTGCCTTTTCCTACAGTCTTCGCATTTTTTAAAAATAGCAGTGCTGAGCGAACCCCTTCCGCCCGCGCTGCTTCGGGAGGTCGCTGCGCCTTGCAGAGTGGCATTTGCTTCCAGCTGAGTCTCGGCGTCCGGGAGCTGAACCTGGGGACGGAAGGGCCGCAGCAGTTCCGGGCGGGCGGCTCTCCAGGGCAAGACCCGCCCTGGCGAGCTCTCTGCTGACCGGAGAGGCCGCCGCTTTGGGCTGGTGTCAGCATCCTGCGGCTTCCTGGAGGTGAAGGAGGGTGCTGGTCCCTGGGCCTGGCCGCTCGGGGCCCCCGGGAGCCACGTTTGAGCGCCCCGCACACTCGTGGCCGCAGGGCTGACGCTCGGGGAGTCTCAGGTGGGAGGGCGCCCTCGCCCAGCCTCTGTGCTGCCCGGCGGCAGCCGGCCTGGGGCTCCCTTGTTTCTGGGCAGCGGGTCGGTGCTGAAGCGCTCCAGGGCCGCACTCATCCGCTGCCCAGAGCAGCGCCGGCACCCTGCCTTGCGCTTGAGGCTGGGCCCTGGGGGGGTCGCCGAGCGGGCGCCCAGCCGCAGGCACGTGCTCCACCCTGCTTTGCCCCCTCCCACGCTCTACCTTTAATTAAGAATTTTAATTACAAACAAAAAGTAGGGGAGGGATTCTGTTTTGTTTTAAAAGAAGAAGAACTTGCTGGCGGAGCACAACTATTTTAAGGGGGCTGCTTGCCAGACTTGCCTAGGGGGTGCTGAATAGATTCCTGGCTACACCCAGCACCCCTTTGGCAGGCTTGGGGTCAAGAGTGAGGGGTCTGGCGCGCTGACCGGCAGCTCCCAGCGGAGCCCTCTCCCCGGCCCAGTGGGGTGCCCACTTGACCTTCGGGGCGCTAAACCCAGCTCCCCGACTCTTGGCCGTGCCTGGCCTTGGGTGGGCCCCACCCAAGCTGGCCTGCGGAGGCCCAGACACAACTTCCGGCCGCTGGCTGTGAGCGGGTGGAGGAGGTCAGTAAGTTCCGCTCCCACTCGGGCAGGTGCCCCCCCCCGGCCCAGGGGAAATCCTCCTGCCGGGGCCGCGGAGGCCGGGGTCCTGGTTGTGTGGCCGCTGTCTGCCGGGGTTGCCCTTTCCCCCGTGGTGGGGGGGCCGGGGGCAGCGCAGGGCCCAGGGACCCACGTGGTCCGGGGCTCCCGGCCCCGGGTGGGGCGGCTGCGGGGTTGAGTGAGGCCTTCGGAACACTCAGGCGCCCCCGCCCCCGCCGGGCCCTCCCGCCGACCGGATCCCCGGGGTGCTGACCTCACGGCCAGAGCCTGCTCGGCGCTCTGCCTGGACACGGTGGCGCCCCCGGCTCGCTCCTGTCCCCATCCGCCCACTGTGGGCGTTGACTTGGCCCCGTAGCTTGCCTGTGGGTTTTCTGTAAGTATTCCCTTGCCGTGACGGACCTGAAAGCCCTCCAGTTTACAAAAGACTCCTCCCAAAGCCATCTAGGTCACATCCACGCCTGGTCTGAGGAGCGAGCGGGCGTGGGTGCCGGCCAGCTCGTCCTTCCTCCACGTGGCTGCCGTCGTGAGCAGGGACTGGCCGGCC